TTCCGTCTCTTCCTTCCACCCTATTTCTTTTATTTTTTGTCTGTTCCTTCTTTTATCTTCTGTCATCCTGCAGGCTACACAGGGGGTGAGTGTCAAGGAGGTCTCCCTGAAGAACTGTCTTTTGAGACCGAAGGCATGGGGAGGAGGAGTTGAGTGGGGTAGAGAAGGTTCCAGGAGGTGGGAAGAGCATAAGCCACGTCCTGGAGAATGGGCAGGGTGAGAGAGAACCAGAGGGATGAGCTTGGATAGAGAGGAGTAGTGGGCCTAAGACTGAGTCCTGGGACACACCGACATTTAGAAATGAAGAGGAGGGGGGAGGAACTATCCATGAGATATATGGAAAACCAGGAGGGTACATTATTTGGGGGTCAAGTGAAGAGAGTCTTCAAAAAGGAAAACCAGGTTTTCAGGAACAAATGTTGCTGAGAATGCCAAGACGAGCGTAGAAGAGCAGGAGATCCCAGCATGAGGAGGTCGTGAGTAACTTTCCCAAAACCTTGTCCATGGTGTGGTGGAAATGGAGGTGGCATTGGGTGGGTGACAGAGAGACTGCGATTTGAGGAAGTAAAGGCTGTGTGGGACAGTGTTTTCTGGAGTTTTTCTTTTGGAGGGAGCACAAAAATGGAGCAGGAATAAGTTCTCCAGCATTGGTGAGGAATCGAAGTAAGGAAAGGTCCTATTTTGTCAGCCGTTTTATTTTTCTAATTATTAAATTTATATTTCTCCTGAGTCACGAATGTGGAGAAGAGGAGAAAACCACTCTTAGCAACTGATAGTAGGTGTGGTTTCTTGGTCAGCTATGGACCAGGAGTGTCTGGCTGCAAGTGACAAAAACCCTCCTTATACTTGCTTCAGCAAAAAGGGAACTTTCATTGGTTCATATAATTAACTTGGAACCAGAGACTGAAACTCCATCAGAGGTTCTCTTTCACTGTCTCTCTTCTCTTTCTGCTTCCTTCCTTACTGCAGAATGAAGGGTTTGGGGAAGAAAGCAAGGGGAGATGTAATGATTAGGGGCTCTGGGTCACCTCCTCACTGCTTAAGTGACCAAACAAGAAAGGGAACCTCTCTCTCTCTGTGATATATTTTGGAAACTTCCAGAGAAGGACTCTGGCCCATGTTGGGTCAGGTGGCCATCCTTTGACTCAAGCATTGTGGCCAGGGGCTGAGGAAGTATGTTTGGCTCAATCTTGGCTATACGCCCATGTCTGTGCCAACGGGACAAGACGTCTTACCAGAAGGAAGCAGGGAAGGGTTCCAGGCAGCCGAAAACCTTGGCTGAACCGTTTACATTAGTGGTGGTTACCAATAACCGTGCTCGCTTTCTATAGTTCATGTTAATTGCGGCTTCTTCATGGCAACAACAGCAATGCCTTTTATTTGTGTATTTGTACCTTCATTGTCTTATTTGATGTTGAAAACATCGACATGCACTAAGTAGTATGAGATTCTTATTTGCATTCTACAGACAGGATGATGGGCAGAGCTCTAAATTCATGCGGGACCTGCCTCCTTTGAGTGGGCTGCAACTCACATCATTGCTGAGCATTTCTCCCTGAACAGCTCATTCAAAGTGGAGTTGACCAGGACCTACTTCTTATCATCTTTACACCTCCTGCCTCTATCATTAAAAAAAAGTGTGGTCACCTCCTGTAAAGGATCTCTTGAATTTAATGTATTCTAAAAACTTTCAAGGACAAGGTGCATACTTTTGGGGTACAGAAAGGATCTGTGTTACAAAGTATTACAAATATACACATTATATAAATTCACCAGCAAGGAGCAGACGTGTAAGGGAGAGTCCTCTGGAGAAGGACTTCCCTTTTCGAAGGTCCTCACGTATTACCATGCTCTGTGGGCTTGGAGCTGGGCTAATGGTGAGAAGTATCCGGCTTCTGATGATGTATTTAAAATCTGGAGGAAGGGGCGCCTGGGTGGCTCAGTTGGTTAAGCGACTGCCTTTGGCTCAGGTCATGATCCTGGAGTCCCGGGATCGAGTCCCACATTGGGCTCCCTGCTTGGCAGGGAGTCTGCTTTTCCCTCTGGCCTCTCCTCTCTCATGCTGTCTCTCTCCCTCTCTCTCAAATAAATAAATAAATAAACAAATAAATAAATAAATAAATAAAATCTTTAAAATCTGGAGGAAGGAGATATGGGAAAAAAGAGCTACAGCCTCTTTGCGATAATGGCTTGGTGCCTTCGATGAGATGTCCACTCTCTTCCTTGAAGGGAACATCATCTCTGTTCAACTAGAACAAAAAAAATGAAAACAAGACCAGCTACTTTTTCAATTTCTTAAAAAAAAAATGTTGGTTAGTTTCTGGGTCAATACCAGTGTAGGAAGAACTTCTAGGGCTATAATCTCTACTTTATAAACTTTAGCACATCAAGTTCTATGCCAATAAAAGGTGAACTTAAAAAAACCTTTCATTAGTTTAGAACAAAAGGAGTATTAGGAGTGATCAACTTAGTATAACGTGGGGGCGAAGAAGGTCCACTCTGGGTTGTGATGCCTGGATGGGATCTTCATTGTATCACTTACGTATTGTGTGATCTTGGGTGAGTTCCTTACAGTCTCTGGGGTCCAGGTCTTCACCTTTATGAGTCAGTTGTGGGGATGAAACGAGATGATGTCTATAAAGTACTCAGCACAGGGCTGGGCCGTCAAAGCCCAATAAACAGAAGCTGTTGAACCCTCATCATCTACAGGAACGTGTAGGAGGCAGTCTGAATTTTTGTCAATGAACTTAGATTATAAAGATCCTCTCTCTATATATATATAAACTATATAGAGCTCTCTCTCCCTCTAATCATAGTTAGCTAGTCAACGCATTTCTCTTGAGCACATTTTGTTGACACTCTCCGTCTATCTTGAAGTCAGGAACCAGGCCCTGGGCAGGGTCCCTCACACACAGCTCCCTCCTCTGCCTCCGCAGCAGCCGGCCAGCTTTCCAGTTCCATCAACTACCTTCGGGGCAGTGACATAATTCTTGTTAGCTGTCTTCCGTTAGGAGGATGACTGGGTAACAGGCACACGTGATAGATTTCTGCTGACCTGGAGTTTTTCTTTCAGTTGTGAATGACACAGAAATGGCAGTCAGCAGGGACTGCGCTCTGTCAAGTGATTTCCACCAGCCCCTGTCTCGTCTCGACTACTTTGCCTGCTGTCCTACGTTACGCATCGCAGAGCCTTTGTAGTTTGAAGACAGGATAAGCCAGGAACTGGGGTAGCTTTCTCTGCAACTGAGTGTGACATCTGTGGTTCAAGAGTAATTCTGGTACACATGTGCCATCGTGCTAATGTTAATATAAGCATGCTGATGATAACGGGTGGCCCTCTGGCCCACTTTCCCCTCCCCTCCTCCTCCCGCCCACTCTCTTCCTCCTCATCCCATTCCTACTTTTTCTTCCTGTGTTTTTTTTTTTTTTAACCCACTTAATCCTCACAAATATATGAGGAGACACTATTACTATTCCCTTTATAGAGGAATGAAATCCAGACCAGACCACTAAGGAACTTGTCTAAGACCAAAAAGCTCAAAGCTTTCATCCACCTATCAATATCTCTTCATTTCTTTTAAGTTATTGACCATTTTAATACTCGTGTTTAGAGATACTTGCAATGATCAGTTTTCTCAAGTTCTCGGTGTTGGGATATTTTCCTGGAGGCGGGGAGGGAATGTTTAATGGGCTTCTTGAGTTTGGATACTCATCTTGTGGAAGGTGGGACCATCAGGCCAAGGACATTTTAGCATGCTTGCTAGGGTCCCTTAGTGCTAGAAGACAAGATCATGATTTATAAGGCTAAGACAATGAATGGGGAGAGAATCAGCATGCTACTGATTGGTGCAGTTATTTCCAAGTCCAATCCACATGTGTTTCAGGAATGGTTAAAGTTCAAGGGTTAGAGACAAGAGGTGGGGAATAGAGATCACCAGACTTCACAGATCCTTTTTGGGAATAAGGAAAGAATATAAGACAAAACAAACCAAGAAAGAAAATTGCAAGGGTTCCCCCAACCCCCTTCCCTGAACACACAACAGCAAACACCATTCCTTTTTCAAGGATTCCAGGGCTCGGCCTCTCCCAGAGTCCTGGGGACAGTTCTCTTCTGGATAACTTTTACTTGGAACAGAGCCTGTTGTCAACAGGAAAAGCTCTGTTTGGGATAAACCTTCATGGAGGTCAGTCGATTGAACTTTGAGTATCAGGTCATGCTGTGAGGGACACAGGGGGTGGAAAAGAATATTCTCCGCCATGGAAAAATGAGACAAGGACAGAGAGGAGGCCTGTCCCGAGGTCTTTGGTGGTCAAGGGACTTGTGTCCACTCCCGGGAAACTGATTTCTGAGTGTTGGGTGGGAGGGCCACGCTTCCGAAAAGTGCGTATGGTCTGTGCTCCCCTCCAGGGCTGTCTGCAGCTCGCCTGGGGAGGGAGGCCTTGTGTGTGAAGACGCTGGGAGAAGAGAATGGGGGACAAGGACGATATCGTGCCCTGACGGGGTGACGGAAACGACAATGCGCTCCTTGCGCAAAGGCTACCCGCAAGGACAGCGGATAAAACAGCGAGACCACGGGCCCTCGTGGAGGGGGTTAGGCCGAGGGCTCAGTTCCAGCTTCACGAAACGCATTGCAGGAAGCACCCTGAAGGCTGGGCAGGGTTGGCCGGGGCCTCCCGGGGTTAATGCGGAGTCTATAATGCCCGCAGCGCCCGGCACGTACGTGAAGGCGTCCACGTCCACCGCGACGAACACGCCCCGCGGCAGTCAAGGTCCTGATCGCCAGGAGTCCACAGGGCGCGGGGGCGGGGGGAGAGGCTGGGGAAGCGGGGTCGGGGTGGGCGGGCGAATCCCCCCGCCCAAGCCTCAGGGCGTCGGGGAGGAGGGCGCTCCAGACACGCCCCCTGTCCCCAGCAGCCCCCACTCTGCCCTGCGCTGTCCTAGAAGGCCAGACATTGGCCCGTGGCCACTTGCCAAGTGGGGCCGGGAGCCGGGACCGGGGGAAAGGGCCTCGGCGGCGGCCCGAGGGCCCTCAGAGCCTGCCGCCGCGGCCACTCCCTTAGACTCTGGCCGTGCGGGGACCGGGGGCGCTCTGCCTCCGCCTTATAAGAAGCCCGGCGCGGGGCCCGCGGCGAGGCCGGAGGCGGGCACGGGGCTCGGGCCGCGCAGGGGCGCCCCCACCGGCGGCGGCTCGGCGACATGGGCCGCTACTCGGGCAAGACGTGCCGGCTGCTCTTCATGCTGGTGCTCACCGTCGCCTTCTTCGTGGCCGAGCTGGTCTCGGGCTACGTAGGCAACTCCATCGCGCTGCTGTCCGACTCTTTCAACATGCTGTCCGACCTGATCTCGCTGTGCGTGGGGCTGGGCGCCGGCTACGTGGCGCGGCGACCCCGCGGGGGCCTGGGGGCCACCTACGGCTACGCGCGCGCCGAGGTGCTGGGCGCGCTGAGCAACGCCGTCTTCCTCACGGCGCTCTGCTTCACCATCGCCGTGGAGGCCGTGCTGCGCCTGGCGCGGCCCGAGCGCATCGACGACCCCGGGCTGGTGCTCGTCGTGGGCGCGCTGGGGCTGGCCGTCAACGTGCTGGGGCTGCTCATCTTCCAGGACTGCGCCGCCTGGCTCGCCTGCTGGGGCCCCCGCCGCCGCCCGGCGCCGCCGCCGCCGCCGCGCGAGCAGCCCCAGCCGCCGGCCCGGGGCCGCGCCCCGAGCGCCATCGGGGGCCCCCGCCGGCCCTCGGCCGCCGCCCGCGGCGTGGCGGCCGCTGCAAGGCAGGACGAGCAGGGGGCGACGGTGTTCTCCAACGTAGCAGGTGCCTTTCGGTTGCATCCTCCGGACCTCGCTCTGCCTTTCCCTCCTCCCGCCCGTCCCTTCCTCCTCATCCACGCCCTCTTTTTCTTCCGGGCTGTGGCTGCTGTGGCTGCTTTTATTTTGTTTAAAAAAAAAAAAAAAAAAAAGGGAAAGAAAAGAAAAAAAGGAAAGAAAGAAAGAAAGAGAAAGAAAGAAAGAAAGAAAGAAATCCATGTCCTCTGTAGCTCGGCTTTAATTCTCTGCTCCTCATTTATTGTCTTCCCCACAGTGTCTCTGGTTTTCTCCTGGATCTTCAGGCCTCCCCTCCTCTTCCCTTCCCCTTATTCTCTCTGTTTCAGAGCCTTGATTTTCTTAAATATAGTTATTATTGGGCAACAGATCATGAGATACGGTCTGAACTTTGTTTTCTCCTTTCCGCCTGGCCCACCCTTCTATCCTCCTGGGAGTTATGGGTTTGGAGACGGGGGTGGGATTCCACTTCCCTCTGTTTTTTTTGTTTTTTGTTTTTTAAACTTAAATGGAAGTGTGAATGAAATCCAGAGGTGGGTCACAACGCTTATGTCAAGGCCAAAATGTACTATTCTGGGTTGTGTGTGTGGAGAGGTAGGGGGGTTCTGATGAGCTAGTAGGAGTTTAAGATAACAAAACCTTTTTTTGAGTTCATTGGTTCTTTTTGTTTGTAGAACTTATACACAACACAAGGTTTCTTCTTTGAATGCAGGTGATTCTCTGAACACCCAGAATGAACCAGAAGAGACTATGAAAAAGGAGAAAAAGTCTGAAGCCCTGAATATCAGAGGTAGGATTGACTTCGGGTGGATTTGAAACCCTTGTCTGTAATGCATATGGGCTGTGCTGCGTTTTTGTTTGCCTTTTAATAAGGTGTGTTAGAAAGTAGGCCAGTTGCACTAATAGACTATGACCCTAGTCTCTTGCCTAATGGCTGCATTGATTTGGAGCAACACACTAGCTGCTAATGATTTATCCTTGCTCCGCTTAGAGCCGGGCTCATGCTGCCTGCTCCAGACACTCACAGATCAGGAGTAACATGTTATTACTTTACTCGATTTTCCCCACTTGTGGGTATGGCTAATGCAAATGAGGTCTATTTTAATTGAATGTAATTTTGATGAAGATGAGAAGAGAGTTACTGGCTGCTGTTCATCGTGGCACTGCTGATTGACCCTCATGCCTCACTTATTTCTTCCAGGATTCTGCAGCTGGGGTGGGTCTCTTGGCTCTCTTGAATCTCTACTTCCGGGCCCAAAGCGGAGGGTTCTGGTGAGGCACGTGGAAGGCACGTTACTAGCATTCTCCCTGCCATGTGCTCAAGGTCACAAGCACTGGGCAAAGGTTAGTCCAGGGAGTTCAGAGGTGAATTTCTCACCAGATACCAACATTGCATCCAGCACCTCTCTCTTCCAACTTCTTGGGCAGAGACTTTGCTTCGGAGTGATTCCAGAAGGGTCAGTCCGCCATCTCAACTTGGAGGATTTCAACAAAGATTATTTAACCCTTTACTTTTAGATGATTTGGGGGAAGCCTGTGATAGGGCTTAAATGGAAATAATATAAAGAAAAAGTAATCATCTGGGAGACATTTTCATTTTTGAGAGTCTCCCGTCTGTTTTACAAAGTGATACCTGGTATGCATCTACAGGGAAAGTCAGAAGAAAAAAAAACAACAGTGACAACAACCATGCATGAGCTCCTAAAAATTTCTACGTGAGTCACTTTTTAAAAATTGAACTGCAATAGGAGAATTTCTGAAGTGCTAGCTGGCGAATCTTTTTTGAAAAGAGAGAATCTATATTGAAGAACCATTATCCTTTGTCTTTCTTTGGGTTCAGTTAAAAAAAAGTATATATAATATATACTATACACATTTTTTTTTAAAGATTTTATTTATTTATTTGACAAACAGATCACAAGGAGGCAGAAAGGCAGACAGAGAGAGAGAAAGGTGGGGGGGAAGCAGGCTCCCCGCCGAGCAGAGAGCCCGATGCGGGGCTCAAACCCAGGACCTTGAGATCATGACCTGAGCGGAAGGCAGAGGCTTAACCCACTGAGCCACCCAGGCACCCCACTATACACATTTTGATATCAAATACATACTATATATTATATATATCACAGATTTTTCCACAGTACTTTAATTTTTCAAGGCACATTCTGTTATTCATTCTCATGATGCAGAGAAGGAGAACGGGTAAGCGAAAAGGTGCTAAGAGGACTTAATAGTGGGACCGATAGATAGTGTGATCTTGTTCGGGAAGCATGATATATGAACCTGCAGCATGATCATGAAACTTGTACAATCTGGCCGATCTTTAGTCTAAAGTCGGAGCTCCTAGGTGGAACAATGCCAGGGTAAAGCCTTGCTGTACCTGGCTCAGCCCTGAGCTCAGCTGACCAGTGTGTTCTGTAGCTTCCGACAGAGGTGAATAATACAGCAGCTAAAAGATTGGGATTTGTGCTCAAGATTCCTGGGTTTGAGGTCTTGGCTCTACCATTTAAGCCTCTGACTTTGGGCAAGTTTTTGGACTTCTCTAAGCCTCCAATTCCCTCATCTTTTAAATAGTATCTACTTGAGGGGGTGGCTGTTAGATAAAGCATGTCAAGTTCTTGGGCAATGCAGAGGGAAAATGTGCTTTTGTGCCAGGCACCCTGCGAGCACAAGTCACTTGCATTTGTAAGAATCTCACCAGGTGGGAGCTGTTGTCTCTCAGGTAGTGAGTGGAATTGCTGGGCTCAGCCCAACTGTGTAAGTGAGCCCTGCTGTGGCTCCCAGGAGCCTCTCCATCTTTCAGGCCAAATGGGAGGCTGGCCTCCCCTTAGACCTTGTGTCCTCATCTTGGATCCATGATTCAGAGAAGGTACACACAATGTTATAGCAGAAAAGGACTTAGTGGGAATGAACTCCACGCCCCCTCATTTTGCCGATAAGGAAGCAGGGTCCTGAGAGTCTGGTGACTTCCCAAGTCACCCAGGCAACCGCAGAAGCAGGGCTGGGCTCCTGGGCTCCTTCGCATTTCCACCTCTTTCCAGTCTAGCACACTGCCTGTACACTCCATGCAGAATGGCTTGCTTCTCCAGTGTAGACAGTCCACTGAGTGGTTACACTTTTGACCTTTAAGCCACCGTTTGAGAAAGCAGGACTATTCCCCCAGATCTGCAGGGGAGCAAATGACTGGCGGGGATTCTTGTGAATAAGAATCATTTCTACATATACATTGGTGTTTCTCATTTCAGTGGAATAAAACAAATGCCTTCTGAGAAACACAGTCCATCTTCTGCAAAGCACCGTGAAAGCACAATCCTTTAAAAATTCTCGCCAGTTGTGGTGGTTGATTTTATTTAATAGGATCAAATGCGATACATCCAAAAACGTTGCGACAGAGGGTCAGAAAGATAATTAACTTTTTGTATTTCAGTATAAGTGTAAATAGATAGACCACAATCTGGACATCATTTGAAAATAAGTCTCCTTTGATGAGATGTTTCTAATTCTTTTTTCCAGTAAGAAAGCTCTCTCTTCCTTCCATAACCACTTGTTAATGCCCAGGGCTGGTGTACTGTATTCCTGATTATCAGCAAATTCAACAACACTGATGGCTTTTCCAAAGGCTGGGACACATCAAATTTCAGCTGATATCAAATTGCCAGTTTTTCTGAGTTTTTGAAAAAAATCTCAAGATAGGAAGTGAGGTCCAACCGTTGAGGTGTCCTGTCATTGCAATTCTACCTTGTGAGAATGATGACTAATCAGATCATTGAGCTGTCTACCAAGGGCTGATCTTTGTCTCTCAGATAATGCTGCCTGACTTACCTTTCTGAATCATAGATGTGATCCCATCAGAACCTGCTCAGAAATCTTTCCCGCTTCTGGAATAAGGTCCTAACGCCGGCAGTCAAGGGCTTGCTGTTCCCATGTCAGCACTCCTTTCTAGACGTTTCTGCCCTGTTCTTCACCCCTTTGCTGTCCCACCTCCTCTCCTAGACCCGAGCCATCTCTCCTGTCCCCATCCCCATCTAATGCACACTTACAGTGAGGCGAGAAGAGCTCAGCCAGGCAGATCTGGTTCAAGGTCAGCCCCTGCCTTTTACCAACTAGGTGATCTTGGGCAAGTAACTTAACTTTTTTGAGCTTCAGTCTCCCTACCGACGTAGTGGAGATCACCACAACATCGCTGTGGGGTTGCGAGCGTTGCATGAGGGGTTGGAAGAGCGCAGAGGACACAGTCCACAAAGCATGCAAATTATCCTTGTCGCAATCATTTCTCTGCACTTACGTCGCAGTGGGCTTTCAGACATCGTTTCAACAGATTCTTCAGAACTAGCCTCCGAGAGAAGTGAGACAGACGCTATTCTCATCCCCATTGTACAGAGGACGATGCTGGTATTCAGAGAGGTTGACTTCCACAAGGTCCGTGGCGCACAGAGACTCTCAGGGTCTATGACTTCACACTGAGTGTGCCTGTCTCGCATGCTGCCTGATGGGCACGTCCTCACCTGCGGCCTCCCTTGAGCTTCCTGCCTGGAACCCTTTCTCTCTGAGCTCTCTCTGCTTGGAACCCCGCTGCCTGTTGAGGTCCATCCCCGCTTCAGAGTCCTGCCAAATTGCCTCATCGCTCGAGATGCCGTCCCTGAGATTGCCCGTCACAGAGAATCTCCACCCCCCCATCCTGAGGTTCCTGGTGCCCTTTTCTGAGAATTCTGCCAGTGTGGACTCTGGTCCCTGGAGGATGATGACCAGGCCTTCTTCGTCCTTACACGGGAGGCCAGAAAACACACTATAATATCCAGTCTCTGGAATTTGAAAGAATCAGGCTTTAAGAGGATTTTCAAACTGAAGGCCATGATAGGTTGACTCATAAAATCAATTTAGTAGAATATGATGAGCATTTAGAAAATTAACGAGAATTGAATGAAATAGAATAGAAAACAGTAATAAGTCATAGGTGAGGATAGGCTTTGTTTTTTCGAATTTGTTTCAATGCGTGTCTCTGGGTGTGCTAGGAGGCAAAATAGGATTCTTACTGTGGATTATGGGAAGAAGAAGTTTGAAAGCTATTTTATGTAATTATGAGGGGCTGGCAGGGAGATTTCTTAGGAGGAAAACATGAAAGGGGAATCTAGGCTGTCTATGAGGCAGGGTGCACAGTGGTTTTTTTTGTTTGTTTGTCTTTTTAAAGATTTTATTTTTTATTTGACAGACAGAGATCACAAGTAGGCAGAGAGAGATGCAGAGAGAGAGGAGGAAGCAGGGTCCTGGCTGAGCAGAGAGCCGGATGTGGGGCTCGATCCCAGGACCCTGGGATCACAACCTGAGCCAAAGGCAGAGGCTTTAACCCACTGAGCCACCCAGGCGCCTCGCACAGTGGTTTTCTATGCAGACTTGTATCCCCACTCGAACCCTTTCTGGTTCTGTGATCTTGGATAAGTTATTCAGCTACTCCATGCCTCAGTTCCCTCATTTGTAAAATGGAGAGGGTAACCGCTTCAGAGAGTCTTAATATGTAAGGACATGGGACACTCTTACAACAACGTCTGATGCATGTTTGTTAACTGGCAATACAATTATTATTATTAAGTAAAAGACAGAAGTCACTCTATGTCATGGGAGTTATGACCGGCCTGCATTGTGTGCTTCTGGTGCTAAAATATAAACACAAGAAGTGCAGACCATGACCCTCGTCCTCACGTCACTTAGTGACTAATGGAGGAAACAAGGCTGTCATGCAGGAAACAGAGGATGAAAATGGTCTTAGGCAGTGAAACTGATGTCAAGTGCAGATAGGAAATACTTGGTTTTTGTATTTTTATAGTACTACTGTGTATTTCCCTGGAGAGGGTCCAAGCTTCGATCTTCAGGTTTCCCTGGAGGAACAAGGTATATAGACCAACTCTTGGGAATTTCTCTTTGTGGCTCAGAACAAGGACTGGGGAGTAAAAAGCTCTTCCAGAGGTGGGGTGTGTGAAAGGGGGCACAGAATTAGAAAATGGAATTATTTAATCTATTCATTGAATCAGGATCCTATTCTAACAACTAAACACTCTGCCAGAAGGGAAAGTGAAGATAATTTGTATTTCTGTATTATTTTGGGGTGGGAGGGTGTTTGCCACAAATTGCATTTAGTATGTTTGCAGAATGCTGTTTCACCTCTGATGCTACTCAGCTATGCAGAATCCTAAAAGTATTGCCAAAAAGAAGCATTCGTCCAATTAAACCATCTTCCAAGTGAGACTGGTTGTAGCCACAAGTGAGTTATGAGGATTTGGGATTCTTATTAATTCAACCCAGTGGATCTGTGGGATCCCTGGAGAGACAAAACGAGCCTTTCTTAATCTATACGCTTTCTTCTAGAGCACTGTTCTGGGACTTTCATGTGAGTTTCGGGCCCCTGTGATCTTGTTAAAAATGCAGAATCGGATTCCAGAGCCTCTGACATGGGGCCCGAGATTCTGCATCTCTCACCAGCTTCTGGGGGTTGCTGATGCAGCCAGTCTGTACACCAGACTGACTAGAAGGGTCTGATGTCTTCTGCAGAAAAAAAAAAAAAAAAAAAATAGAAAGAAAGAAAGAAAAAAAGAAAAAACCCAAACCAAACCAAAACAAAAAAACCAAACCAAGACAAAAAAACCTAGTGTTTGTATTTTTAGAATTCTTCTGACAAAGTTTTCACCTAAATCCCAGTTTAGTCTGTGTGTCACATACAACTGGACACCCAGATCTTCTGTGTTAGGATGGCAAATTTTTTGTATCATAATCAAAACATTGAAGGTTGGTTCCCTTAATTAAAGGCAACCGTGATGTTATTATCTCTTAAATTTTAATTTTATTTTATTTTGACAAATGGCTCTTTATTCAGCGGCAGTGTTGCTGGAGACCCTTCTTTTTTTTTTTTTTTTAATTGACTCCCTTTTTTTTTTTAAGACTTTTATTTATTTATTTGACAGAGAGCACAAGTAAGCAGAGCAGCAGGCAGAGGTAGAGGGAGAAGCAGACTCTCTGCTGAGCAGGGAGCGTGATGTGGGGCTTGATCCGAGGATCGTGACCTGAGCTGAAGGCAGATGCTTAACTGACTGAGCCACCCAGGCGCCCCTGGAGACCCTTCTTAAGGACCTTTCAAACCAGATCCAGTTTAGATGACTGAGGCTAAGTGAGGAAAAGGCAAAGGCACGTAGGAAAGGGGGGGGAATGGATCAAGGAAGAGGGAAGACGAGGAATAACAAGAACCACTCTCTCTCTCTCTCATTTTTTTTTAAGATTGTGTTTATTTATTTGACAGAGATAGAACGAGCAGAAGCAGGGGGAATAGCAGACAGAGGGACAGGGAGAAGCAGGCAGCCCTCTGAGCAGGGAGCCTGATGTGGGCCTCGATCCCAGGACTCTGGGATCATGACCTGAGCCAAAGTCAAATGCTTAATGGACTGAGCCATCCGGATGCCCCAAGAACCTCTCTCTTGATAAGTCTTAATTCCTTCTCCTCTTCAAAATGTTTAAAACCATTTAAATCACAGACACATGTCTGAAAGAATAAGAAACCGTTTGCACAACCTCTGTTTACCAGTTCGGTGCCTTCTGACAAGTGGCAGGCAGCCGTGGTGAGACAGGTGAGCCGTGAACAGACAGTACCTTTCCCCACTGGGGTCTGCAGCTCAGAATCTTCCTAGGCTTTTATGGGTTCTCTGGGTCCTGGGATGCTGGCCTAGGGTTTTGTTTTCTGCAAAGTAGCTGACTTTTGTTTTTTTTGTCCATTTGAATCCATTTTGCTCTTCTAACCAAAAAGAAAACAAATAGCAACTGGTCTTCTTAGACTTGGCAACCCAGGTCACAGAGCGTCCCATGGCTCCCAAATGTGGATCTGTGCTTGAGAGGTCTCTCTTCCTTCCCAACAGGTGTGCTTTTGCACGTGATGGGCGATGCCCTGGGGTCAGTGGTCGTGGTGGTCGCGGCCATCATATTCTATGTGCGTCCCCTGCCCCCTGAGGACCCGTGTAACTGGCAGTGCTACATCGACCCCAGCCTGACTGTCTTCATGGTCATTATCATTTTGTCATCCGCCTTCCCGCTCATCAAGGAGACTGCTGCCATTCTGCTGCAGATGGTCCCCAAAGGCCTGAATATGGAAGAGCTGAGTGAGTCACGTGGTCCTTATCTAGAACCACGCCCACCTAATACTCCCCGGGTCAAAGGGCTGGTGTTCTTTCAGAGCAGCGTTTGATTTATGTATCTCGAAATGCTGTAAATCACCTGGCCATAGAAACGTCTGTCACATGTTTGGTAGCCCAGTAAGAGGACTCACAGCTCCGAGAACCAAAGGTCCTTTGCAGCCCATGACTCTCTGACTCAGCCGCAGAGTTTTGAGAATAGAGTGTTGGGCCGAACCTGCTCCTCGGGTCCCACCTTCACGTCAGAGATTGATTTTAAGTCCCGTAAGTTACCCTGCCAAGAACTTGATTTTTATTCTCCTCATTCTGAAAACAGGAGTCATTCATTTGCATTTGGGATCCTGCTTTCTGGGGAGCTGATTTTGCATGGGCATGCAAGTCACCGTGTCTCTTGTGACACCCTGTTTAAATGTAAACATGAATTTAAAACAGGAGCGTGTTTTAAATTCAGATCATTCATGGCCTCCTTCAGTAATGAAACCTCTTTGCTGGGCTCAAAGAGAAGGTCAATCTCCCACCTTAGTTATGTGCGTCTGAGCACACGTAAGTTAGAGACTTGGCCGAGTTGCTAACTGGGGACAATCCAAATGCTGGTGAGAAGCTGAATGTGCTTCTTTATTTTCTAGTGTTTCTACTGTGAGGTAGAGCCTGGCCCACTGTGGGGCTCAAAGTTGGAAGACTAGATCCCCGACAGGAGGTTTGAATGGGTCTTAATCCATCATATGGCCATGGCTAGGCCTTCCCCTGGGAGGGCGTGATTTATGGTGCTCACTGTTGGTCAGAGCCCAACCAGCCCCCTGTTTAGGAGCACGCATTGGGACCAACTGCTTGGGCCATTGCCAACAGCCTGTGCTTCTCCTAGTCTTTCCCCCTGGATGTTCTTTTTGCCTTTTGGAGCCTCCTCTTGGGCAGCACTGCTTTATAGTCTCAGGGCCACTTAGGTGGTCAACTCTCCAGCTGTTTTACCGTGCTCAGTCCCAACAACCAGCCTTCATTTCCTGCAACCTGCTATCTACCCAGTCCGGCAGGCAGAGGAGGTGGGCGGTGAGGAAGGAGATACCCAGGAGCAGACACGCAACATTGTCTCTTCCTTCCAGGAACTTATTTTCCAGTTGAAGAAATAAGATAAACATATCAAAGCAATTTGTGATAGATAATGGTTTATATTGCCTTTTAACCAAGTTCTCTATATTTAAAAACATTTAAAAAATAGATGGTAAGAACAGGAGCAACCCTTCTATGGGACTGTTATACTATATGCTGGCAATGTTCTAAGTGATTTACTCATATTCACTCATTTTAATTCTGCAAGTAAACCTGTGGGGTACTATTGTTATTATTCCCAACTTACAGGTAAGGAGACTGAGGCCCTGGGGGCTAGCTAAATTACCCAAGGCTGTGTCTAAACTGGGATTCAGACTCTGGCTAGCTTACAGGGTCTTTGCTCCTAATCACTATTCCACATTATCTCTCTAAAGACATGCTCATTTGAGAAAGTATGGAGAATATAGAAGACTTAAATAAAAAAATAGAAGTCTCTCGTAATCTTTCCACCCAGAAATTACCTCTTTTAATATTTTTGAATCATTCAGTGAGACAAGCTTTTAGCTGCATAAAATTTGTGTGTGTATATATACACTGATGTTTGCTTAAAAAAAAAAGAAAAAGATTGTGCCGTATATACAGTATAACTATTTCATTTTTCACTTAAAGATATCTTATATACGTCTCCTCATATCCTTAAATATGCAACTTACTTATTAATGGCTGTAATCATATTCTTTTATATATAATTGATTTAACTATTTCCTTATTTCTGTTTTTTCATTAATACAAGAAACACTGCCCAAACCATTTTTATAAATGAATGTTTGGGTATTTCCCTATAGGTTAAATTCTAAGTACTAGAGATGCTGGTAAAAGTTTTCCGTCCATATTGCCAAGTTCTCCTCTTTGAAAAAGACACCCTATTTCATACTCCAGGCACAGCCCGTCAGGGTGTCCGTTCCCTTGTAAACTCACCATCAATCCTGGGAATTTTTTGGTATGTTGTTAAACTTCCTTTCTTGAATTGCCTTTTATGGGTTCATGATGGATGTATAGGGACTCAGAGAGGACGGAGAAGATTATGGGAAAATGTACCTATGTAGATACAGCTCTTTTTCTTCCCATTGTTGTAAATACATCCTTTTGGTGAGAATGCCTTCAGGGACCGTGTCCCTCCCGTAGAGGTACCTTGTTTCCAGTAGCCCCCGCTAACTGTCTGCTCTTCCTTGTTGTAGTGAGCCAGCTCTCAGCTGTGCCGGGGATTAGCAGCGTACATGAAGTGCATATCTGGGAACTTATAAGTGGAAAGATCATTGCCACACTGCACATCAAGTATCAGAAGGACAGGGGCTATCAGGACGCCAGTAGGAAAATTCGAGAGATCTTCCACAGTGCGGGAATCCACAATGTGACCATCCAGTTTGAGCAGGTGGACTTGAAGGACCCCGTGGAACAGAAGGACCTACTGTTGCTCTGCAGCTCCCCCTGCATCTCTAAGGGCTGTGAGAAGAAGCTGTGCTGCCCTCCCGGCGCCCTACCCCTGGCGCACGTCAATGGCTGCGCGGAACACAATGGCTGTCCCCCTCTAGACACAACCCCAAGTGATAGCTTCGCTAGGCAAGAAACAACAGAAGTGGTTATTGAAGTATCTTCAGACAACTGTCTGAGTGACCATGGACAAGCTCTTAGCAAAACTCAGGAGGACCAACATTATGTCAACAGCACACATTTTTAATCTGGTCCCCACATAAACAGACTGAATAGAGGCATTCTGGCTGGTGGAAAGGCCTGTGTGGGCTGTATCAGATTTGCGGTGTGCTCGCTCTGTGTTCAACAAGGGGCTGGTTGTTGGGGATGTCAATTGCATGTATCTGTTAATTTCTGTGTGACTGAGAACTTTACGTTGTCCCCAGTGTCTCAGGCTGCTCTTCAACAAACTCACTGTTTTAGTTTGAACATTTATTTTAAGAAGCAAACTGTGCTCGTATCTGTGTCAGGGATGTTGAAGGCTGGGACTCCATGGTTGTGGACACGGGATTCAAAGCAGTTCCTGTTTTAAAGTGATAAGAACTTGTAGCGGACTCTCAGGTGAGCTCATAGCCAAGTACATCGAAAAAGCTTAAGAATCTTGATAGCTATTTTTTTTTCATTCCACTAGAAGATCACAAAAAAAGGAAAGTTGGATAGTCCTGTCACTGCAGAAATTTTTTTCTTTGACTCATTTTCGAATAAATGAAAAGTGAACATCTATTAGAGTAGAAAATATTCTCAGAACATTAGAGGAAGTGGAGTTTATTAGGGGAAGACAGGAAGAAAATCCGTTGACTACCTCTTCATTTTGTCAGGTGGAGGGAGAACTAATGTTTACTTTCCACTGCGAAATGAATTGCAGCTGTAGGGTGCTTCAGATGTTTAATGCATAAAATACCTTTTTTGCCACTTGGAAGTGTGGGAATATTTCCACTTTCTAAGGTACAACACAATACTTGTATCTTGTCTTGTGGGATCAGTCCACTGGGACTGTTCTCATTTATTGCATAATGGCTCATTTGTCCAAATTTCCTTTGGGTCTTTTTTTTTTTTTTTTAAGGCTCACACTTATAAGTATAGCATTTACCAGGAGAACATGGGTATTCCTGAGGTAGAAGAATATATGACACTGAGTAGTCATTCCTGCCCCCACAAAAATAAATAAATAAGCTAGAGTGACTTTTCTTTCACTAGGCATATTTTGAAGTATTTATTACAGTTGCAAACTAGCAACTTGATGGAAAAGCGTGTGTAGGGAAACATGAGAATTACTTTAATTGCTGCCTTTAAATGTGTCTTGGGGAGCTTATAGTTTCCCTTATTTCCTTTTCTGACTCTGACCCCTATTACCAATTTCAAATAAATTTATTAGACTCTAATTTGGATCTATAATCGACTTACATTAGCATTGGAGAAGCGTCTGTCCTGTACTGAACACATTGTTGAGGCAGCAGTATTTTAATCAGAAGAGTTTCAAGATAGGTCTGAGAAAGTGGAAGAAACCCTCATAGAGAACTAGAGTCTTACCCGATGGGTTACAAAATTGACTGGCAATGGTCGTCTCTTAGGCTCCAGGCACTGAGTCCTGTTTTCATATCTGCACAGTAGTCAACAGAAATGCTGGGTTGGTCACGGAAAAAGCGCCCACATTTTTCAGCACTAATACCATCTTAAAAAAGTGCCTTGGTGTTCATTCTAAGGCTGAAATAAATAAGCAGCTGTGATCAGTAGGATAGGAATCTTTTCTCTTTCCTTGAAAATTTATGATCTGAGTTTAAATTGGCCATGAATTAAGTAAATGCATTTTTATCCCTAGCTGTTTATTGGACTAGTCTGTATAGCCAAAAGAAGGGTTAAAAAAATCACAATGTTTTTATTTTTGATACTAAAGGTACAGCATGTACTCACACACACACACACACACACACACACACACACAAACAGGGGATTCTCTTTGACGCTCACCACGGTGATGAGTGGATGAAATTCTAGACAAGTGTTGGTTGAGATGTCTTGACTGGAACCAAAGAAGAAATGTGAAGGTCATTTCCAAATTTGAAGGTCTAATTTGATTTTACCTCGTTCTGCTTTTATCAAAAGATTTTAATTTTAAAGTTTCTTTGCAGCTGGCTAAAGAAGTGCATACTGGTTTATACCCAGATAATGCTAAGGAAGAGTCACTTAATTCGAATAGAACTAAATTTACCTCAGAAAAGTAGCTTAATGGACACTTACTCACAAAGGATGAATGTGAAATAATTCCTTTTAAGACAGTTCGAGTACATTTAAAGTGTTTGAGCAAGCTAATTCAGTGCAATATTTTTGTGTGGGGCTCAGTGCTTTCCTTCGTCTTCTCCAGCACTGTGATGCCTGCAGTCTGGTCTCTTTACTTGGGTTTTGCTCTCTCAGGGAAAGGCGGGATTTTTCTGTTCCTCTTTGAGGCAGCCTTGCCTGGTGGCAGTAGGTCTGGTGAACAGTGGCTTTACCAATGCAGTTTTCCTCTGAGATTAGAAAAACACGGTCGTTTATGTTAGCATCCCTGTGTGCTTAGGGAAGTTCCAGAGATCTTCCTCTTTTTTTAAGGAGGTGAAAATAATTTTTGAAAAGTCTAGGGCATCCTCTGTGTGTCTGGTCAGGGACAGCCATCCTGCACGCTAACCTAGAAGACTCAAGGGATGGTTCTTGCTTCTGCCCTCTGTCCTTCTGTCTCCATAGAAAGAGTCCGTTCCCCTCTATTGCAGCATTGGCTGTGGGAAGTCCTGTGTTTGCTTTTATCATTCCAATTTCAACTTTGGCTTGGAAGAGAGAGATGAATTGTTTTCATGACCCCTGGCCATTATGAATATCCACGAGAGCTCTCAGGCTCCACTGTGGACAGCAAAAAAAAAAAAAAAAAAAGTATGATCCCTCTAATGATTGATAAAGCATCAATAAAATAGGGAGACATTGTTTGAGGAAGAATTAAAAATATTCTTTATATTGGTTACTTTTTTTTCTCTTTTTGCCACCAGCTGGTCAAACTTTAGTGGGGGATAAATCAGGAACACCAAGTTCTGTAGGAAAGCATGCTTTCAAGATGAAAGAAATCACGGGAGTGGATTTGGGATTATAATAAAGGCAGCTGCCCTGTAAGCAAGAATTTTTGCTATGCTGTCTTAGCATTAGGGACATTTTCAACTGGATAATTCCTTGCTGTGTGGGGCAGTCCTCTGCTTTGTAAGATGTCCTGCGGCATGTCTGGCTCCTGCCCTCTCAGATCCACATCCATGAATCGTGACAACAAAAAATGTCTCAGGACATCACCCCAGTCCTCTCTGGGCAAACTGGTCTCTAGTACTGAGCCCACCGAGTTAACCTAACGATAATTGAGAATTATTGTTGATAAAAGTCCCTCCAGAGCCCTGTAATCATTTTATTGGGATCAGTCCTGCAGAATTCACTCTTTAAAAAATATTTTTCCAGGAGAGATCAAACTGCTCGCGAAAATGACAGTCATCTCTACATAGGGACTTTGGACATTTAAAAGAAAGATATAATTGGCGGTGGGGGGGGAGGGGGGGAGGTCTTACAAATCCAATTAGGCAGATTGGTTGATGTAACAGTGAATAAAATGAAGAAAAAACATTTGTTCTCACTGTTCTGTCATGACCTCTTCAACTCATGAATGTCCTCAGTTTGATGAACTTCCTATAAAATGAGACCAGAAAATACCAGTATGATTGATTGTTGGGGCTAAGCTGTTTAATTCATCACTGGTTTTAAGCTTGATGAGGTTTCTTCTATTGGTTCCAGACAAGCAGCTCATCTTGGTGCCAAGGACAAGTTTAGATCCTAAAAAAAATTCTGTATTGTCTGTGGTTTGCTTAATCCTTTGCCAACACATATCACATTTTTCCCCGGAGGGCAAGATACATTTCCTGCTTTTAAATATATCTTTACACTCTTGCAATTAAAGACTGCAAAAAAGGACTGTGTTGGGGGGGGGGGGAAACACGAGGAAACGCAACCTGATTTGGGTTTTGAATTTAGACTGAATGATGGCCCCATGCCTATTGCCTAGCTTTGCCCTTCACCTGCTAAGTTTTTACCCATTTGTACTTCTGAGTGTATTTGCACATGAGTCCCCGCAAGTAGGAATGAAAGTGTTGAATCAGGAAAGTGGCTGCTCCAGTGGAAATTGCATCAGACCCTAATCCTCACCATGATCTAAATGCCCTTATGACTTTGGAGATAAGCAAATGTGGATTGTCATGTTTGGAGCTTCTCTTTTCAGGTGTTTTATTCTGGACCTTTTCGTTTACATGGAACTTTCTTGAATATTGCTGGATGGATCAACTGTCTGTTCTTGGTACAAAGCCAGGCCAGAGACAATGAACCCGCTGTGAATTCTAGTGGGAATCATCCAGGAAGGACGATGATATTTGGAGGGAGGGCGACCCCTTTCAGGAGGTCGACCCCTTCCAGGAGGTCCGAAGTTAATGTTACAGTATTATGGAGTTTTGTTGCTTCAAGTCTTCCTGCTGTCCTCACAGGCGATTTTGCCAAAATGTCATTGTCACATTTGTGGGGACTATTCAAACTTGAAGATACAAAGTTTAAATAACTCATTGAGAATTCATGTGAAATCCCCCAGTAATGTATGAACATGCACACCTGTAACAGTGAAAGATGTTCAATGGTGCTGTAAGAGAAATTAAAAAAGAACCACACACATCACGCCTGATTGAGATGTTTCTGGAAATCAGACAGATAACTTGAAGTAGTTGAACCCACTTTGTCATTGCTGCTTACTCTAGTCCAGTTATCACTCAGGAACCCTTCAGATCAGTTTTATGCTAACGTGGGACTAAGTCTCCCAACTGTGTTTTGCTGCTGTCTTCTCCGTACCCCTCTGCCACTCTCCACCACCTGCAATGTCACAGGGCCCGTTTTAGCAAAAATGTCCCAGATTGACGCAGCAGACTACTTACCATAGCCTGGACTGACCTGGTTTCCTAGGGAGCCTCGTGGGATGCAGGGCTGCCCAGTGGGGTTTGTGCAAGAGGGGAGCTCCTGGGATGGAGGGAATGGTGGAGAGGCTAGGCTTATTTTGGAGAAGTCCTATAGATTTTAAGAGGAACTGTCCGTGGTGCCTCTGATTATTTTTAATCTGATCAACCCGTTGACTGATAACCGTGGGGCACTTACTGGAAAATGTGGTTCTTGCCTCCAGGGAGATTACAGTCTACCCTGGAAGCTAAGTAACACAGT